GACTACGTCTCAAAAATCGATGTAATTCTTTAAGACGTAGGCAATTTCATGAGTGACACAGTACAAAAGGATGGAACAACACAGGATGAGACAAAATTCACGAGGTCGCGGAATTCTAATTTCATAATTGCCGTACAGTTTTAGCAGCTAACCCCAGTCGGAGCACATTCACCCCGACTTTATGGATTACCCAAAGTGAACAAACCGCAGGTCCTATTGCGCCCGATTATTGACAACTCTGCCTCCGCGTTCCACTCGGTCACCAAATGGAACGTGGAATCGTTAGAGCCGGTACGTAAAGCACTGTGTATTCATACTTTAAAATATTCTTTTGATTACGTTATACACTGGTGGAACATCAGAGTAGATGGGAAATTAATGCTGTCATCCGACGTCGTGCCATTTTTCAGAAAAGTTACCTTGCTGGAAAATACCAAGTCCTTCTGTGATTACATGATAGAGAACCATGTAGATATTGGTATCTAACTACTTAAAATGAAGGAACAGATCTTACATTGCACTTTCGACAGGCAACTCATGCTTGCAGGATTTTATTAGAGACAGAAAAAGTTGCGATTGAGTCGCCCATAGGGTCATTGTTGCTGATATTTTCCTTGCCAAAATTGAACGTAGGCCTCTCCAACAAATGATCACATTTGATTCCCACTGGAGATACCTGGATGATACCTATATAATTTGTGATTCAAACGCTGACGTACGCCATCTGCTAGATCAGTTCAATAGCTCGCACCCGTCTTTGAAGTTTACATGCGAAATTGAAAGCAATGGAAAGTTAGTCCTTCTGGACATACTACAAAGCAGACGAGAGGGTGGAGCTCTCCAGAGAAGTGTCTAGCGAAAGTCTACTCAGATTAGCCAATATACACGATTTCGCAGCTTGTACCGCCTAAGTACAAACGAAACTTGGTTCGCCTGCCTGTATTATTGTGACAACAAAACTTGTAGTCCAGAGACTTTGGAAAACAAAAAGTATCGCATCCTTAGGACGCTACAGGATAATGGATACCAAGCTCCCATCATTCTGAGGCACTCTGTGATCCGTGACCGACGAGAAACAACTGTGACGGTGCCAAAAAAGGATGTTTATCTTTCTGGCCCCTTTAAAGGAAATGCCACCTTCGAATTACTGAACAGGAGACTCATAAATGCATTAGCCAAGTCGTTTCCTGGTACCTACCTGCAGAATGTTTCAGAAATTGCCTCATTTATTACAAAGGTCTTAAGGATTGACTCCCAGTCATATCCGAAACCTTACCTAATATCAACTTACCTGCACTTATGGTGTAAGATACCCCGGACACACGACCAGACGCTTGGCCAACCAGATAGTAGAACATTGTCCAGCAAAGTTATGGAAGCACACAGTTGGACATATCAACAGCTCTATTTTCGAACATTTAATCCAAAGCGGGCATCAAATTGTGACCTCGGAGGCTTTTAAAATTTTTTACACCGCACCGAAACGCTATCCAAGTGGGATAAAAAGCGAATATTTACGACGAGCGATTCCATTACGTTGCGGCTAATGCAACCGGAACTGTGCAAACAGAGAACTTTAGTGCAGTCGCTACATTTGCCCTGGCCCTGAGCTTACCTTGAGTGCTGCTTAATTCGATTCTAGACGGTGATCCCGTGGCTACATGTGCGTGATTATCTTCATCGATCGGAAAGTTTGTTCAGCAGACAAAGCAACCCTGACCTAGCTAATCACAATGCAAACTATTTTTATACATGTATTAGCCTAAAGATAATTGTCAACTAAGGCTGCTATAAATTGGCAGTCGCGTTGTTCGACCACTTAGCAATCGCCATCAAATGCAATTCGATTAAACGTAAAAGCAAGGTTTTGTTTAGACATGTGCTATCTGATTGAAGTCGGCCGGTGGCCGAAATTGCAAACAATAAGGTCCCCGGTTCGAGTCCGCGTAGGGGTGGGCGTCCTCGCGGTATACTCAGCCAGCGTGCGACTGGTGGTGTTTTCACGCGGCAACGAAGCGCCGTCACGGAGTACAGCTAACACGTTATTTGTTTGTCTTATTTATCTGATTGAAACCATCCAATTGCAGGTATGCTGATCCGCTCTATAAATTTCGATGGAAGAATGGACTTGCCACTAAAGTCCAAAACGACTCAGCGCTAGGAGCCGAGAATTCACAATTGCCCAGTTTGAGTCTAGATGCATCTTCATACAATCACAAACGCCGAAATCTGTGTAGGATTTTATAGAAGAAGTGCCTTAAAGGTTCCCGAAAGCAGCCAAAGGCTGTGGATGCTGGAATTTTTATCATGAAAGTTTTTTCCTATCCTCTTCGGTTGCTGCAATTGCATTTTGACATTTCGAAGCCTGGTGATAGATGATGACGGAATCCGGTTCATTCTGAGGGGCGCTTCAGTTTGTTACGTCTTCATTTATTCCACCCACTTTGGCAAATATTCAGCCACCCTCTGGTCGCAGTGTGGACTCGAAGACTGCGTTCAAAGTGCTATTACCTAACCGGGATTTCGTAGCCTATGGGAAACTCAAGGGGTTTAGCTTAAGGAAGTCTAGGGGTCCAATTGTTCACCGACCAGTGCTTTTGGTGGAGTGCGCTGATTTCCTCACTTTTATGTCGACATATCTTTTCATTTGTTGTCTGGATGGTGGCACTGTTCCCAACATTTGGAGACCTACCAGGCTAACGACTGTGACTAAGAAGGAATCCCAGAATTTTTGTTCGACCGCCTTCACGTCTGTGATGTTGAAAGGCTTTGGGATAATACCGGTTCCTTGGATTTCTTAAACATCCAAATCAATGATCGCTCTCCGTCTTTCTGCAAACCCGTGTTCCACGTTGGATGCCGTAGCATATCATCTTACTCCGTCAGTAACACCTACATTGAATGCAACATATAGGACCTTGCGGTTTATTTTTCCACATTGTTTTAACGCCTTTTGAAATGTGGACATCAATTCTGTTCATCCTGGTACCCGCTCTTCTTTTCACCTGATGTGCCGCTATCCCACAAATCAGTCCCACTTCACCCAGTTAAACGATCTTAAGTCCTCTGCTCTTCATAACGACTTAAGTGTCCTACAAGGGCAATGCTCCCTGCACTGTTTCCTACATACGGGAAGACTTTCCATTCCATCAGGCAATCACTTTCCTTCAAAACCATAAATATCAAAACCAAACCGAATTTGAACACGGTATTCAGTATTCAACTTAATTTGCACATTTTCGCTCATCATCTGATCGAATTTATATATTGCAAATGAACGAATATAGGTCCACGAATAATCGATAGCAGCATTCGATTCATAGCTTTGCATGTTTTTGCACCATATACATTTACCATGAAAAGAGACCTCGGTGTGGATTAGGTAGTGAGGCTGAGATTAGGTTATGGAACATTCAATATCGTTGACCGATTCGGCTCTAATTTTTTGTAGCTCCCGCAACCCGTCAACTGATGTACAGCGTATGTAAACAACTCAACCTCGTGGCCAACGTCTTCTTGTCCTACTAAAATGCAGGTTACATCCTATGAAGCTACGGTCTTGACTGCTTTAGATACCGGACAATTGCTGTAACCAAGTCTTTGCTGGATCCCCGATTCGTTTAATAGTGCCATCGAATGTATGTAAACGTCTGAGCAAAATATCTGTGCGAACCGAGGATTTCTGTGCAGTCGCTACATTTGCCCCGGCCCTGAGTTTACCTTGAGTGCCGCTTAATTCTATCCCAGAGGGGGATCCCGTGACCCCATTTGCGTTTCCAACTTCATTGCCGGGAAAATATGAGCAACATGTAAAGCAGCCCGTTTAGATTGAATCAACCCTAGCCCGGCTGTAATAGTCAGTCAAATTTTTAACTATTTGTATGTATGTTAATTGAGTAGGAGTAGTTGGGTTATAATTTATATATAAACCCGAAGAGAAATATCGAAAAGAAATCTTTCAGCTGATTTATGTTCAACTGTTTCTAGAAATCTTTCGCTTGTTCGAATTTCACAAAACCAGGCAAGTTATCCCACTTAATCTACTCTGAAACTTCCATTGGCTAAGCTCCCTGCTGTGATTTCTTGTCTTCCGATAACTTTCAAGTCCCCGTGGCACAGTAGCATAAGCTGCTGACTGGCGCTGCAATTCGCTGGTGGCCATGGGTTCGTACCTTGAAGGATCCGATGGATGCGCACTATCAATGATGCTCAACAGGTTGAAACTGTAATCAACTGCTTTACCTGGAATGTGGAAGACTAT